CGCCTTCCTTCGTAACATGTTACGAAGCTGTCATAGAAACGTAACATGTTACGAAGCTGTCAGGGAAACAAAATTAGCGTTCTGCCCCTCCAACTTTTGCTGATTTTTAGAACTTCGTTGCTTAGCAAACCAATCTTGTTCGCAATAAGGAGCTTTGAAATGTAGGTGTAATGCAAAATATTGGTTCTGTAATTAAAAGAATTATGTAACTAAACAACCGGGCATTGTAGGTTTGACAGCTTTTTGCCCCACCAATTTTCCTGGAAAAGCCCCACCCTTGCCTATGGGGTAAAACATAAGGAACAAAAACACAAAACAAGACAGATAAAAAACAAAACAAAATGAACTCATTACCTAATGAAGTTCAGGCTGGAGCAAAACATAGGTAATAGATATCTATGTCAAATTAGAATGAAATATTAAAATCAGCCTGACCAGGCCTTATGGTCTGACCTGATCCTAACCACCTTACTTCGCCGAACTTAACCCAATTCAACATAACCTACCACAACACCCGCAGAGGTCCCTTACTGGAAAAGGACGCCCAAGGTCATCATGCGCTGGTTTGACAAGTGATATATATATATATATATATATATATATATATATATATATATATATATATATATATATATATATATATATATATATATATATATATATATATATATATATATATATATATATATATATATATATATATATATATATATATATATATATATATATATATATATATATATATATATATTGTGCTATTAAATAATTGTCTCCTGACTGTTGAGTGATCAGAAGATTCAAATAATCAGGGTACGATGCTGTGCATAGTGCACACTAATCATGTTCTTTTTGTGTAGGCCCTCTGCACATCGTTGTGTGCACTGCTATGTGCACCTTAGGCAAAAAAAAAATGTGACTGGTGGTATATGACAAAAAGGTTGCACAACTGTGAAGTTCATGCCCTTGGGCTTGAACCCTTGGGCAAAATGCCTACAGCTATGGCAGGATCAGTGAGGGTTGTAACCATGCTATCAGCTACATACACTGTGCATTGAAGAAATTGGCACAAAGTTGATCCGTAATTACTATGCTTAACACCTAATCTAAGAAGAAACATAAGTGCCCAAATGATACAGCTCTCTGGTCAACATCACACAAATTTATTGACATGCTTTGCAGGTAGGTACATAATTACATTCATAGCAAATACTTTCGATTTGATTCAGTAACTATGTTAGTAAGCTTACATTTTTGTAGGTACAACATTGACCAAATATTAAATCGTAAAAAACCTTCTTGTGGCATTCATCACATACCATTTTACAGAACAAGTACCTATCTACCATGCAATGATTCTAAATTTTGTCCGCAATCCATCTATATCTCAACTAACACATTGAAATTAAAATACCCTAACTAAACCTGAGCTCTGTTCGCACCCCGTTTATTTATCAGCAGGCTGCGACCATGCTGCTGCTTCTTGGCTCCTCATTGGTCGAATTCAAGTGGTCTATTCGTTAGACCAATGAGAGGCCAAGCCGCGCCAGCAATAACTTCCTTATATGGGGAAAACCGACAGCACGCTGATACAAAAACAACGAGCGAACAGGGCCCTGGAATTTTACATAAGGAGAATGCAATACTACAGGGATTATGAAGTTCTGAAATTATTCTCACATGCCAGAATGTTGAAACTCTACTTTTGTCAACCATTTCCTCGTTTGATTGAGCCATCATATACAACTATTTTCGCTCTTCAGTCATAAGTTTTTGCACAAATCTTGAATTTTTACCACATCATCTTGAACCATGCTCCAGTCTTTCCAACAAGGTACTATGTAGCATCAAAGCAATTTTGATTTGTTACAACAGCTTCAGATCATGAAAGGCTTGAAGTTTGTTACACCATTTGCCAGACAAACTTCTACAAAATGTGTATCAATTCCCAAAGTAAGCAAATGATGATATCAGTATTTGCAGTTTCCACACAATGTTTAAAAATATTATTCTATTTTTAAATCGAGAAACTCAAATAATCCACAAATAAAAATTGTTATTGAAACGCTCCCACCTCTCAAGAGTTCAAAAGCAAACAAACACTGCGCCAGATTTCGTATGAAACGCGCCATCATCCTGAAGTTTCTACCACAGACGGTAGTTCAACCCCAGCCGTAGTGCGAAAACCCCTGCCAACCTAACCCCACGGCGGAGCTCGGTTGCAATTTGTAAATACGCGCGCAGAGGTGAAATGGAGAACGATAGGAGCTTCGGCTTAAAATATAACTCTGTTGAATAAGATCCCGAAGGATCGACCGTCAGCAAGGTGTCCAGAAACGCTATCCTCCCCGAAGTTAGTGTGTGCTCCATGGTAAGCTTAATGGCCGGATTGTGACTGTTCATGATGTTAACCCGCGCCCTGCTGGGGGGGGGTGTTTGAACACCCCCCCTTGTGGTTTTTCGCGAATATCTCTTGGTACACCTTATCATACATCAATTCTACACATGTTGTGAAAATTTCAGACCAAGGTCATTCAAGGTCAGGTCACCAGGTCACTTGAAGTGACCTCACCTCATAAAAAGTTTAAATGTCTGTCATAGCTACACCGAGTGACCGATCGCTTTGAAACTTTCAGCGATTGCTAAGAGCAATAGCATGTACAAAATGTATATCTCAGAATTTTGATATCGATGACCTAAGGTCAGGTCAATTTTGCGACCTCCCCATTATAAGTCAATGGGAGAAAATTGAAATGCGCCTCTTTTGGAAGAAAGACATTATAAACACTCCCAAACACCAAATTACAAGTGGTTTAGACACACAGAACATGAAAATGGTGTCCGTGACCCTTGTTTATGCCCTGAGGTCATCTTAGGTCACGAATGGTATCTAACAGTTTTTCGCAAATAACTTTTGATAGAGGCATGCTAGAGCGATGAAAACGCCTTAGATGTGTTCAGCTCGACGATACGGATCGACTGATATGCAACATGACCCTTTCCGGTCAGGTCATGACCTTGACCTGAGGTCAAATTTTCAAGTTGACCTTTCAAGGTCAAATTATAGTTCATTCGATGCGTCTTGACGAGAGGAACACGATGCCGGCAAAAGTAAGCTCGTGCAAGGCTTGGGTCAAAAGTTATTGCAGAAAAACTATTTCCGAAAAAATCGGCTATTTTTGCAGTTTTTGCCCCCTGCAGGCAAAACCGTTGACGTTAGGTCAAATCTGAGAGAATTACTCAGAAAGGGCGTTAATAGGGCTATCGAATGCGCTTTTCCGCGGCGCTGTAGCTCTATTGGTTCCCGAGTTATGCGTTGGCTTCTTGGAAATTTTCGACATTCGACCTGGAAATCGGCGAAATTTTGCCTTCTATGACCTCTGGTGACCTGACCTTTGACCTGACCAAAAAATTGACCGAAGTGATTTCGTCATTATTTTTTACGCTCTTTCGAACGCCGCCTTCCGCGTATCGCTACGTGGCCCAGGAGCCGAGTTACAAGGGGGGGTGTTCAAACACCCCCCCCCCCCCCAGCAGGGCGTGGAAATCCAGGACCCCCAGCCGGGCGCGGGTTAAAGCAATGACTGAGGCGGTCGATACCATAGGTATGAGTAGGTACTGGACCCATTGAGGACCGAACCGTCATCAAGCTAATGCATTTGAAACGGTATCACACTGAGAAAATACATCAAAAACGTAAAATTAGTTAATGGCGAGGAAAGCCCATCTCATGCACTTACCGACGGTGAAGAAATAATTTTCGATTGGTTGCATGGCCCTTGCAGGGGAGTCAAGAAGTGAGTGACTACCAATGACTGACAAGGTGGTGACTGTGAAGGAAGTGGAGGACTAACAGATCGTCCTGTGACCTTTCAGATGATTATGGAACAGAAAGGTCTCAATGCTGGCAGTGCCTGAAAATATTATCAGCGAAGAACTACAGACGATAAAGGAGTCAGCCCGCTTAGAAGCTTGTGTGCTGCAGCTGTTCAAGAGAAAAGTGCGTCTTGACATTTCGAAGCGAAAACTAGACCCTTTTAGGAAATTGAAGAAATCTTCGGTCGTTTGATGACTTTTGGGGAATGCTGGGCGTATGCGTACGATACAGAGATAAAAGAGATGATCAAGAAGTTGAAGCACAGCACATCTGTCCTTCTAAAAAAGCGAAGATGGAGAAGCCGATATTGGAGGTCAATGCTGTCAGTGTTCTGGATCTGGCGTAGGACAGTCATTACCTACTGTCTTGATAAAGGTCGGATAATAATAAGCACAGACTACTGCACACTTTTGAAGAAGTTGCGAAATGCCCTCGAGTAGAATCGCTGCAAAAAAATCCCGAGAAAGATGTTTTATCCTCACCGACAGCGCCCCCAAGATTTGTCCTGAGCTGCGATTGAAGAAACAACATGATGTGGACATGAAATCCTACCGCATCTAACAAATTCACCTGACCTGATATTGGGTGACTCTGGACTGTTACTGGACATGAAGAATCAACAGTATGGCCGGTGATTTGAGGACAGAAATGACGTGAGGTGGAGCAGTGATTTGCGGGACAGCGCAAAGGTACTACTATGACGGCCTGAGGCCAGTCAAGAAACGACGGAAGAAGTTTGCAGTCGTGTGTGTTGGCTTGTGAAGACGTAATGAGCATCATGTAAAAAAAAATCAAATTTCTGTCTCACCTTATTCATGGTGATGATCAGAACTTTTCGATACCCCTTCGTATTTCAATAATATTCGAAACACCGGTGGATAACTCGGGAACCAATAGAGCTACAGTGCCGCGGAAAAGCGCATTTGATAGCGCTTTTAGCGCTCTTTATGTTCTGTGTCCTCAGATTAACCTCAAGTCAACGCTTTAGCCTCCAGAGGGCAAAACCTCTAAAAAAGTTGAAAAAAAAAATACCCAATAAGCCCCCTCGCTGTACGCCGCCCCCCGCAGTCGTCGATGTACGCCGCCCATCTCTAGTCGTCCCAGCTGACGGTCCCGTCCCCGGCAGGTGTTTAACGGCTGCCCGCTGCGCATCACGTGCACGGCCACCTGGATCCACCCGCTGACGCGCGACCAGCACGTGCTGGTGGGCGCCGCCGAGGGTGTCTACACGCTCAACCTGAACCAGCTGCACGAAGCCACCATGGAGCAGCTGTTCAACCGGCGCACCACCTGGATGGTGGTCGTCAAGGACGTACTGATGACCCTCTCAGGTGTGTGCCGGGGCGCGGCCGAATCGGGGCCGCCGCCCTACCACGGATGCTGAATGATTTCCTACCTGTGCCGTGCAGGGTTCGTTTATTTTGAGCCAACTGTTTTTTCATATTCACAATGTCGTGCCCGCTGTTATGCCATCGTATGCCAGTATTCTATTTTTGTTTGCACTTCAACATTTGCCGAGCAATGTTTACATACGGCTGAAACTTTGATTCAAGTACACGATGTGTATCGATAAGATCGTTAGGTACTCTGGACAACAAGCCTGTCGATAACCCTACTTACAGAGTACCGGGGCCATTACGCGAACCCGCTAACTTTTGACCCGTCTGTACCAGGAGTAGCTGATATGGCTGGGCGTTTTAGAACTACACGAGCAGGTTATAGTCTCTCTTGAAAGTATCGCGTCATGGGCTGCGGCGGCTCGGCGAACTTTTCTATTCAGTTTGAGGACCCCACCGGTGAGGTCATGGGTGAAACTTTGACATCACCATTGGGGTCCCAAACGTCCAAGGGGGCCTCCATTTAGTGGGGGCCTCCAAGCAATTAGGGGCCTCCAATTGCGGAAGCGGTAATTTACGAACCACGCCAGGGCCTCCTCTAAGAAATTTTCACTGGGGGACCAGAGGCTCAGAAGCCAAACCTAGGGTACCCCCAAATCCAGTTTTCTCATTGGATTTAGGCCACTTATTTTTCGTCACAGCCCAGATGCCATGATTTTTTTTTTAGTATTGATATTAATAAAGAATTGGTAGGTCACCTGACCTTACTCATGGATCCAGGCCAGCAGGATATCATTGTATGTAAATATCCCCCGCGTCGACCGAACTCGACGAAAATTTCTGGCTTTTTCACTTTCGACAATAAAACAAAAAGCTTTATTATAAAAAAATTAAACGGCACAGCATTGCGCAAGGAATCTAACCGACCCCAGAAAGTGTGAGGGTTAACCCTCGCCCGCACCTGGGGGGAGGGTTGCCACCCCCAAATTAGTTTTTCTGCTCTACACTGAACATTTTTTAAGCTAGAAATCTGATTTTTGGATAGCTGCTTTTCTATCTTTTCTCAGCGTCCATTGAAAATTTCAAGTTTCTGTGGCTTTTGGGTTTGGAGATATGATCTTGTTCTTCAGGTCATGTCATGACCTAAATGACGGATACCCAATATCTTTCGTTGGCTATGGGCCTTGTGAGCTTTTGACACTTTGATGTCGTTTTTTTTTTTTGCCAATCTTACCTCCCACCTATCATTGAACATGTTGTTCTGCCGTCTGCGATGTACAGATGTCAGGGTCAGGGTACATCAGTACATATACAGACATACACAGACATACAAACACATATCATTGACCTTGACCTAACTTGACGTGAAATGACCACAGCCAGCAAATTAGTCGGATAGTGTGACAAAGAGCTGTTCTAGCTGGCTTGGCACCAATACGGCAGCGTCATCGGTATATGATGGGTTGGCCCGCTGCTTGTGTAGGTATTTTATTCGACATCACCACAATTTATTCAAACAAAATTTTAAGCTTCGCAGTCAAGAGCAACATATTCTTTGGGAAGAGACGAATCCAATGATACCAAATTTTACCTCATCAGGCAGTCATTGACCTTCCAGGTCAGGTCAAACTAAAGAACGTTGCTGTTTGAGGTCACCGTTGCCCGTTGGAATATCACGTGCGCTGCTCATCATATACCGATGACGCTGCCGTATTGTGGTGCCAAGCCAGCTAGAACCTCTTTGTCACACTATCCGACTAGGTTTTTGCTGGCTGTGGTCATTTCAGGTCAAGTAAGGTCAAGGTCAATGATATGTGTTTGTATGTCTGTGTGTCTGTGTGTATACTGATGTGTGCACCGATTATGAATGTGTCCCTATAGCATGAGATCATGAACTGAGAAGCTTTTTTCCAAATATGCAGTCAAAGAAACTTCCCGAAAGTAAATTCAGCTCGCCTAAAACGCAAAATTTTTAGATGACCTAGGCTGACCTTGACCCTGACCCTAGCGTCTCTACATCATCGAACAACATGTTCCATGATAGGTGGGAGGTAAGACTGGCAAAAAAGGCCGAAATCAAGGTGTCAAAAGCTCATAAGACCCATAGCCAACGCAAGATATTGGGTATTTGTCACTTGGGTTATGACATCAGCATCACCTGAAGAATAAGGTCATATCTCCGAAACCAAAACCACAGAAACTTGGAATTTTCAATGGACGCTAAGAAAGGATAGAGAAGCAGCTATAGCTATACGAAACATCCGGCTTCTAGCAATCAAAAATGTTGAGTGCAGAGCAGAAAAAACCTGGTGGCAACCACTGCCCCCCATGTGCGGGTGAGGATTAAATAATTTGAATATCAGGAAAACAATTTATTCAAACAAGTATTCCAACAGAGTCCCGCTTTTTTATAGGTGACCTCCGATTTGTGTACCTAGCCTCTAAGTTGCCCAGGGGGCCTCTTATTTGTAGGTACATACAGTACAGAGAGCCTCCTACTTCGACTACTTGCACAGAGAGCCTCCTTTTTGTACATACAGCTAAGCTTCTACAGGTCGAGCGCCGGCCTCCTATTTGTACGTACAGAGAGCCTCCTACTGTTACAGAGGGCCTCCTATTCGTCTAGGGGGCCTCCTATAGGATGGCGCCTCCTATTTGTCCAAGTGGGCTCCTATTCGTCTAGGGGGCCTCATATTTGTCCAGGAGGCCTCCTGTTTGTCCAGAAGGTCCCCTATTTATCCAGGGGGCTTCTATTTTCCAGGGGGCCTCCTCTTTATCCAGGGGGCCTCCTACGTGTTCAGGGGCCTCTTATTTGTCCAGGGGCCTCCTATTTATCCAGGGGTCTTCTATTCGACCAGGGGTCTCATAATTGTGCAGGGGCCTCTTATTTGTCCAGGGGTCTCCTACTTGGGCCTCCCTTTTTTGAAGGGCCTCCTTTTTGTTAAGGGAGCCTTCTAATTGTTCAGGGGCCTCCTATTCGTACAGAGGGCCTCTAGCTCCTACTTGTCCATGGGGGCTCCTATTTGTTCAAGAGGCCCTCTATTTGTACAGGGGGCTTCCTATTTGTCCAGGGGGCCTCCTATTTGTCCAAGCGGCTGTTATTTTCCTAGGGGGTCTCCTATTTGCCCAAGAGCCCTCCTATTTGTCCAGCGGGCCTCCTACTTGTTCAGGGGGCCTCCTATTTGTCCAGGGGGCCTCCTATTGGTTAAAGTAGCCTCTTATTTATCCAGAGGGCTCCTATTTTTAGGGGGCGTCCTCTTTATCCAGGGGGCCTCCTTCTTGTTCAGAGGGCCTCCTATTTATCCAGGGGCCTTCTATTCGTCCAGGGGGCCTCCTATTTGTCCAGGGGGCCTCCTAATTGTCCAGGGGGCCTCCTTTTGTGAAAGGGGCCTCCTATTTGTCCAGGGGGCCCTAATTGGCCAGGGGGCCTCCTTTTGTGAAAGGGGCCTCTTGTTTGTCTAGGTCTAGGGCCTCCTATTTGTCCAGGCCCAGGGGGCCTCCTATTCGTACAGAGGTGGCCTCATGTCCAATACTTGTCCATGGGGCCTCCTTCTTGTTTAGGGGGCCTCCTACTTGCTCAGGGGGCCTCCCATTTGTCCAACAGGGCCTCCGATTTGTCCAAGGGGCCTCCTATTTATACAGAGAACCTTCTATATGAACATCGGACCTCCGTTTGTAAAGTAGCTGGTGCGTCTCGGGGGCCTCCACTATTGGGGTCCCAAAATGACAATTGGGGTCCCAAATGTTCGCACTGGGGTCCCACATGGGACCTCGAAAGTATACAAAGTTACACCCATGGGTGAGGTCATGGCCTGTATCATAAAAAGGACGGTGTAACACGATTATACGACAGCGGTAGAAGGAAAACTGCTATATGACGCAGGCACCAGCGGCTGACAATTGGGTCGAAACAGGCGGAGGCTGGCCAGAGGTCAAGGTCGTATCGCTCTCCCTTGACCCCGTCCACCGCCCCAGGCGGATACCTGCGCCGCTTGGGTTCACCAGCCGAGCGCTCATTGACCTGCCTTGGTGGGCGCCAATCACGTGACGCGTAAAATCACAACGTAGCAAAAGTTCCGCCATAGCCCATACTCTGAACGACGTTTATAAATTACAGGTCATGGGAGGGGGGGGGGGTGCAACCTGGCATCAAATAAGGCTTTTAAAAAGAAGACGGCTGAAGGGTAAATATCTTTTTTCATCGTTCACAAACTGGCTCACCAAAAAAAGGGAGAACGTTCAAATAAAGGACTAATTGGATGGAGAGCAGATATTTCTTTGTGATTGGAATCCGCTAGCGGGTGCATGCATGTGCAACCACGGTTGCATTCTGTTAGCGGGTGCAACTGATGTTTTTTACGTATTCGTGCACGGGCCTCTGGATTAGGTATACTAAAAACCGGTGGTAGTCGTATCGATAACGGGTCAAATTTTCAGCTTTGTAATGAAACATCTAAAAAATCCTCCTCTGCGAGTAGGGTGACTTCCGTTGACCACATGCTTACTGCCATCACAAGTTACCGGATGGCGACCGCCCCATTCCCCCCCCCCCCCCATCCTTCCGCAATCACTCCCTCGCCCCGCCGCGCTGGCTGCCACCACGCGTCAGGCTTCGGTCAGTGCTAACAGTGGCCCCCAAACTTTTCCGCTCAACCGCGGCTGGGACAGGTGGCGCCTTCCCTCAGAGTCGCGATACTTTCAAGAGAGACTATACGAACACGTGTCAGCTCCGTCCACCTAGACACAGCAGGGATTCCGGGCTGCTCCGTCCACCTAGACACAGCAGGGATTCCGGGCTTACATTTTCAGCCCAATCCACCTAGACACAGCAGGGATTCCGGGCTTACATTTTCAGCCCAATAGGTCGGGACTGGAGCGGAAGACGCGTGGTGACTGTTCTGAGCGCATTGGCGGCGATTCTCTAGGTCTTTACGAACGTGTTAATGTAGCTGTGAATCTCGATTAGGCTTTTCGAGAAGCTTCTCCTTTATCGC